AATTGCACACAGCATCAATCAGGGTAGGGGTCTCTGGGACCCTGCACAATTGCCTGTCCACGTGAGCATCTCCCCTACGTGCCAGCCCTCTTTTCTCCCTTCTCATACTGTGTTGGGTCCAGCCTGAGTCAAACACTACCTAACCTCATCAGCACTGAGGCAAATTCGATCCTGACGCTGGCTGGTTACGGACGGGGTCTGTGAATGGCAGAGCCCCCAGGCACAGAGAGCTGCACCGGCCACGCAGGAGCAGACAGTGAGCTTCCCTTCCCTCCCTGCCCTCGCCCAAATTGAATTTCCATTTCTGTTAGCAAGGCAATGGATTATAGCTCGGAGGGGTGCTGCCTGCTTCAATCCCTAATTTGGTGCATCAATTGTGTTTAAACCTACTTACCTGTAAATCAGTCTTTGTTCCAGGCAGGCAGCCCTCGCCTCCTGCCCATGGAGACAGCTGCTTCCCTAAGCTCCACGCCACAAATGTCAAGCACTTTCAGGGCTCTGGAAACCACAGTGTAACAGCCTTTAGGGCTGGCTTTGTGTCCAGGGTCATTACTGGCAGTGAACGGCCATGGCAGCTCTATTGGGAGGGTTTGGATGTGTGGCTCTGCAGACGATGGGGCCAGCAGCACCCAGTGGGGGATGAATGCTGCTGCTGGAGTCCGTACGGCAGCCAGCACAGCCAAGCTGGGGCCTGGGGGACTCGACTGAGCACTGGCCATTAAAAATAGCCCTTACCCGGGGCTCACAGCATGCTCCAGGTATTCCCTGTGCATCACTGCACCCTCGGCTCTTTTTTGCTGTGGGGTGGTTGGCAGGCTCTGCCTAGAGCAGTGCGGAGACACCCGAGTCTCGCCTCCAGCACAGGATGCTCCCACATTAGCACCAGCGCAATTGTGCTGACATTAGCTCGGTCCGAAGCTTGGACCTGTTCTGCCTCTGCGCTGTCTTGGAGAGAGGGGGCTGGACCCCCAGCTCCCATCCTGCAGCCCTCCCAGTGCTCCTCCCGGCAGCTGGCCCACGGGAAGCTGCTCTGCATCAGCCCCGGACGGTCGGATTTTCGGAGTCAGGAAACTACCATTTCTACATCTCATTGAAGTCTTAAAATAAACACCCGGAGCAATGAGTGGAAAGATGGATCCTCACTCCTCGCCTGGATTTATGAGCAACAACCGGGGAGAAACTGAAGGGGGGAGAGAGATATCTACATAATTTTTTTCTCTTTAAATAAATTCTCAGTGCTTATCTACAAAGTTCAGCTGTTTTTGAGCTGACCTGCCGGTGTTACGCTGTTCCATCGCAAATTCCTTCTGTACAGGAAAGCACAGGAACTCCACTTGCACATGCCAGCAACCTGGGGTTTCATCGCTAATAGACGGAGGCAGAACTCGTTAGCTAAGGACCCCCTCCCGCCCCCCGGCAAGGATCGTTTGCCTTCCTGCCATGCTGACAGCTCAGCTTCTTTCCCCTTACAATACGGAAACAAAGCCAAGAGAGGAGGAGAAGTGGGTGAATCTGTGCTTGGAGGAGGTTAGAAATGGGGCAAGGCAAAAATCTGTTCTCAGGGGCTTTTGTAACGCAGCCAGACGTCTACCCGAGAAGCCAGGCGGGAGGACGAGAGACATCCATCTGACGCCCCCAGCCAACGATCCCAGAGCACAGCACGTCCAGGAACAAGCCCAGGAGCCTCAGGCAAAGGGGTGGATGCTGCGTCCTCCCCCGGGAAGATGAGCGGAGTCATGGATCAGTTGAGCCTTGGAGAAGCAGACTCAGCCCCGCTAGGTTCACACCTACTGCGGCCACAGACCCACGAGCTGCCAGGGTAGGAGCCTTCCAGGCAGCTCTAACAACCTCCTGCACGTTAAACTACCTGGACATGTGCTTTTAAGGCTGATGCCAGCAGCAGCAGGAGGACTGGTGTGGGGCTGGGCTGTGCCCTGGAGTCCCTGTACCCGTGGGATGGGGCCAAGGGATGAGCTCATCTGGCAGTGCTCAGCGCTCTAGCTTTCTCCTCTGCTTTGGCTTTTTGCCTGATAAAGCTGAATGAGAGACCAAAAACTCTAACCATTAGGTCACCCAACAAGGAGAGATACTCTGGATCGATCGCCACGTTCCTGGGTGATGGTTGTTTTAGGGCAGTAAAACCTCATCGAATTTAGCGTAGAAATGCACACATCGACGATTCATTAAAACACCCAGGCACTGAGCTGAATCTATTTCCTCTCATTACACAGGGCTGGGAAACGTGGATCTGCCCCCGTGACATTGCTACAACGACCACAAGTGAAACCCAAGACCCAGAAGGGACTGGAGGGGACTCCGCACAGAAGGCACCCGAGAGCGTCGCCTGTCACGTGAGCCAGCATTAATAAAACACGACCACAAAGTCCGGGACTAAAGCAAGGCAGTGTGTGTGTATCAGAGCTTGAGGCAGTTCATTATAATTCCAATTAGCGTAGAGAAGTTGATAACCAAAAGAGAATACATCAGACTTTGAACAAATGAGAAGGTGGAGGGGGAGAGACAAGAAGTGTCTTTAAGCTGGAGCCAAAGTCCCAGCTGTGACAAAAGCAAAGAAATAACAAATACTTAATGTCTCCAAAGGTCCTTCGATGGGATCCTTATCCTTCCTTAATGCTGTGCTGGGTTTGGATGGGCCAGAAATAAATCACACAACAGTGAGAGAGAGGAGAGGAGAGGAGAAGAGAGGAGAGGAGAGGGTTTAATTTCTGGCTGTTTGGGGGAAAACAGTGTTCTCTCTGGCATTTAGCTTTTCAGGGAAAGTAATTCAAACACTGTCAATATTATTTAATGCCTGGGAGCTCAGACAAGGCCCTGCTCACGATAAGGGCTCCTCTGTGCTAACTGTAGCATTAGAAAGCAGAAGAACAAATCTCAAAACTTGCAGCATCTCCCATTTTCCTTCCTATTCCTGGGATCTTAAACTCATAGAATGATTGTCTAAATAATCAGTGCAGGACAGACATTCTCTCCTTGTCCTATCCCAGAGTAACCCCATCCGAAAGGAGAAGCACATCCCAGGTACTGGCAACCCAGTGCTAAACTCTGTACCACACCGATGAGAAAATCACAGGAGGAAAACGCAAGCAGAGGACCTCCACCCACACTTGGGTCGCCACATCCTCGGCAGCTGCGGGACCAGAGACCTGGGGCAGCCCCGATGGACTCTCATTGCTCCCAGGTGCTCTCAAGGGTGAAACCCAGGCGATGCTAGTACTGCAGACCCCCTGGGGCCACCATGGTGAGGGGGCCGTTCCCTGGTGCCGCTGGATGGGGAGAAAAGAGCAACCTGAAGCTGCCGGGAAAGGAGGCTAAGAAGGGTTGAGCTCAGTTCCTGTGACAGTTATTAACCTAAACTGTAATTTTCCACCTGGATAAGTAAATTGAGGCCCTGAGGTGCCCTCACCAGGCAATACATCCTCATGAGGTGTTTAGAGGGGGACAGGAGAAGGAGTTTGCACTCCCCAGCTGTAAGACCTTTCCTTGCTGCAGTCCCCAGTAGCTGCCTCCTCCAACCATCGTGGCTGAGCCCGCTCAGGCTCCCGCATCCCCCGGAGAACTCCGATCAACGACACAGCACACTGCTCGTAACATAATGTTCATTCTAATTTTCTTCCCTGATTTCTCTGATGTTAACATGCCGGGGTGACTCTGCTCTGGTTTGTAGCCTTTCCGACCCCGGCTGCTGGGAGCCGATGGCGCTGTCTCCAGTACCAGGGTGTGCAGGAAAGACCCTGTGAGATACCAGAGACCCAGCTCAGCACTCCCAGGCTGGCTCTACCCTGCTAAAATAAACTCTCACAGCATTTTCCTGGAGGTGTGATCACGATTACATGTAAAACTATTATTAACAGGTTAAAAAATGGATGGAGGCTGAGATGGGAGGAGAACAGCCATCTCCCACACTGTCTCCAGCTGAGCTATCGTGTTGGCTCACTGGTGCAGAAAGCACCATTGTCACCATCCAAAACACGGGAAGGACATATCTTCTCCTGGGACCCTTCCTCTGGACCTGCTCTGACACCCACCAGAGCTCCAGCAAACGGCACCGCAGTCGGCTCAGAGAGGTTCATTTTAAAGCCAGAGGTGACTAAGGGACTGCGGGGCTCCGGGTCGCTTGACTCTGCTCATCTTTTGGCAGCATCTCATGCAAATATGTCCTCAGGGAGGCCAGCCTCCAAAAATAAACAAACACAGAAATGGCTCCACAGGCTTCATGCCATTGGCAAGGATTCTGGGAGGGAAAGTGCAGCCGGACAGGTCCCTGCGGTGCAGCCCAGAGCTCGGCACGGCCTGAGCAGCACACCACAACAGGGTTGGGGGACCCGAGGGGTCCCCCGAGAGCACTTGGACGAGCTTATCTGCAAGCTACCAACCTGCATAGTTACTCAGAGGAGAACAAAGAAAATGGGGATGCACAGAGTGATTCCCTGACCTGCACCCAGCAGAGCGTTGGCAGGCAGACCAAGACTCCGTGTCCATCAGGCAGCTGACCTCGGGATTTGATCCCCCCCAGTCTGGCCACCTTTCTGATGATAAGTGATCCCAGTCTGGGGGACACACAGATCTGCAGGTGGGGTTGCTCCTGGGGCTATGCTGGAGCTTTCATCCCGCAGAGCGCAGACAGGACTGGCTGCAGAGCTGGGTGAGAGGCACCGCAGGCAGCGCAGGACGTGCCCACGCAGGGCTCAGCAAGAGTCACTTGCGAGTAAACACCCTTTTCCTGCCACTAAGGAAGATTTAAAAGTGAATAACATCAGCCCAGTCAAATTCAATTACTATTGATAATGTCCATGTGCAATTAGAGCCAATTAAGGGGAGGCAGCAAAAAACAAGTGCTTGGCCAGGAGGTGGGGGGGTCAATACAACAATCCAATTTCCCAACAACCAAATGCAATTAAAGAGTATCGCTTACCCGGCCTGCCCAGGAGGGCCAGCGCATAAATGGGCACGGCAGGCGCGTGGGTGCCGTCCTCCCCAGCATGCAGACCTCCGGGAGCAAGCCCTGCCCCAGCTTCAGGCTGCGGGAAGTGGCATCCATGTACTTCACCATGATCGCGGTGTTCCTCATCATCTTGGTGGTGGCAGGGCTCCG